ACATACTTTGAGGTAGCTCTAAGAGGCCGTTAGTTTTGTTCTGTGCTTGTACCTGACATGATAGAACTTTTTAATTTCGCCAGTTATTGTTTTTCTGTGATAGGTAGTGACGCTTGCAGTATAATGGATGGACGCGCGTAGATGTGAAATTTCTCTTTCAGTGTTCAACTTGATAAGTCAGGAGTGAGCGCAGGAGTAAAAAATTATTAATGTTCAAGGCAGTTCATTTTATAGAAAAAGTTAACATCATTCTTGCCTTGGTATTTTCGTTTTTGATAGATTGATTGCCAAACAATGACCGAGTGAAACAAAGCACGTATGGAGAACACGGAGGAGATACTCCAGGCTCTTTTTATCGGCATCTCAGTCGCGTCGGTTTTACTACAAACATGTCGATACAGAAAGGCTATCGAGTTATTTACTGAATGCTTGGAGTTTCTGAATCAGTGCACGTCGAAGTTAGAAGCCGAAGTATTAAAGCGCCTTTCGGCACTTGTCTACAGCAGGTTATCTTACATTTATTTCCATATTGGAGATTTTAAGAATGGCTTTGAAAACATAGAATTAGCAAAAGCTATGTATCCCCAGATGGGTGGCAATGAATGTACAGCCGAAGATCTCGACAGACCTCATAACGAGCACGTATCCAAGGCCCATGACTCACCGGGTAAAGAGGAAGATGAAGAAGTTATTAAAATTTTATCATTGGCCAGGAATGTTGGAGACAAGGTAAAGGAAGCATGTGTTCTAAACATGTGTAGTCAAATGGCTCTTTCTCGTTTCGAATACTTCAAAGCCAGACCCCTTTTAGAAAGATTAGCTGAATTGTATGGTGACTTTGGGGACAGGAAACAAGAGAGACTTACATTCGATCGCCTTGGTGATCTGTGTAAGTCACTTGAGGAATACGACCAGGCACAAAAATACCATGAATTGGTCTTGCTTATGGCGGAGGAAGATGAAGACACCTACATGCAAGGGGCAGCCACTGGTAAACTTGGGACTTTATATAACTTACGCAGAGACTATGTCAAAGCAAAAGACCTGCGCAAGAAGGCACTAGAAATAAGTGTGAAAATCGGAGACAAGGAAGGAGAAATAATTGATAACAGATTCCTCTCTGGTGTGTTGCTCAATCTTGATGAATTCAAAGAGGCTCGAGACTGCTGCCTAAAGGCACTAGCCCTTAGTAAAGAAATTGATGACAAAAACCAGGAGGCTTCAGCATACAGTGATCTGGGTGATGTCCATAGAAAGTTGAAAGACTTTGAAATGGTGGAGCACTGCCACAAGAGAGCTATAGAACTATACGAAGAAACTGGAGACTTAGAAAATGAAGAAAGTGAAAACAGTCGACTTGGAGATCTTTACCGTTTTCTTTGTAAGTATGACCTGGCACTTAAATGCCATGAAAGAAGTCTTATCATAACGAAAACAACTGGTGATAAAAGAGGAGAAGCTACGCAATATTGTAATCTTGGGGCTGTTTATAAAGATCGCGGAGATTTTCCCATGGCTAAGGAATGCGGTGAGCAGGCGCTTGCTATCAGCACAGACGCCAATCATGTAAGGGGGCAAGCAATTGACTACGGCAATCTCGGAGTTATCCACCAGCATTTTGGTGACTACAAAACGGCCTACAAACTCCACCAAAAAGCACTGGAGATTAAAATTCGAATCGATTTCAAGGAAGGAATGCCTGCAGAGTACCATCATCTTGGTTGCTGTTGTGAGCACCTTGGTGAGTATGCAAAGGCAAAGGAGTTTTGGCATAAAGGACTTGACATCGCCAGAGATATTGGCGATAGTCCGATTGAGTCAAATATCATCGCTAGTTTTGCATCTGTGGAGCAAACTATTGGCGAGTATGAAAATGCAAAAGCTCAGTTTGAGGAGGCGCTGCGTATCAGCGAAGAAGACAAAGACCTCAAGAGACAGGTATCTCTGACCAGCAATCTCGGACAAATTGCGCATTCTCTTGGTGATATACCTAAGGCCAAGGACCTTTTCGAAAGATCCTTGCAAACGCTGAAACAAATTGGAGATAAAGGAGGAGAGAGCACTGCTTTGTCAAACCTTGGAATGCTTTATAATTCACTGGGTGAATATTCTAAGGCGATAGAATACAACCAACAGGCTCTTGCCATTTCACGGGAAATAAACGACAGAGAGGGAGAAATGATATTAAACAGCAACTTGGGACAGCTCTACTTGTTGCAGAAAGAATTTAAGAAAGCTTCTGATTGTTTTAGTACGGCACTTTCAATCTCTCAATTAATAAGTAACTCAAGAGGAGAAAGCCTCAGCTACTGCAACATGGCATTGCTGTGTTTAACTAGAGACGATACACCAAGAGCTTTCTTGTACCTCTCAGCAAGCATAAAGACCCTGGAAAAAACGTTGGTATTACATGGAGAAACCGAAACTTTTCAGATAGGCTTTGCACACCAGCACAATGACCCCTATCGATTAATGGTTGTCGTCCTCCTTAAACTGGGAAGTGATGATCAAGCTTTGTCAGTGTCAGAACTTGGACGTGCAAGATCATTGGCAAAGCGAATGGAAACTCAATATTCAGCGCAACCTTTACCTGGTTTTGATCCACTGCGATGGCTTGATCACCGAAACATTGTCCAAAAGAAATCTTGCACGTGCCTATCATTTTACTTTTTTGGCGAATTTCTTTTTTACTGGATTTTAAGGGCTAACATGAAGACAACTTGCAAGAAGATGTCACTGAGACAATGGCTTTCAGCGGACAATCAACCTAAATGTACCTCCATTCAAGATACGTTAGAGAATCTGGTGAATGAGTGTTACAGAAGGTTGATGCTTTTGCCGGAAGAACGATGTGAAGATCGCTATTTGGTCCTGGATGAGGAGACAAGATCGCCAACCAATTCTGAAGAAAGCCAACAACCTCAAGAAAGTTCCAATACTTACCAATTCAAAGAAAAGAATGAAGGAGGAGCAAAGGAGGAATCACCCCTCAAAGGGTTATACAAAGTCATTATAGCTCCTGTGGCTGATCTTCTTGAAGGATCTGAGATAGTTGTTGTTCCTGATCGTTCACTATACAGAGTTCCATTTTCTGCATTGATGAACGAGCAAGGCGAATTTCTGGCAGAAAAGTTCAGGATTCGTTATACTCCATCTTTGACGACTCTCAAGCTGATCCAAGACAGTCCTGCAGATTATCACAGCGAGACAGGAGTTCTCCTTGTTGGCGATCCTGATGTTGGTACACTTGATCGATTACCATGTGCTAAAGAAGAAGTTGAGATGATTGGAAATATTCTTAATGTTCAACCCTTAACTGGTAAAGAAGCTACCAAGGAAGCGGTACTACAGAAGATACACTCTGTAAGTCTCATTCACATTGCTGCACACGGTGAAGCTGAGAGAGGTAATATCGCATTAGCTCCATCCAACCGTGAGAAGGACGACTTTCTGTTATCAATGGCCGATATCTCAGCAGTCAGATTGCGAGCCAAGCTGGTGGTGCTAAGTTGTTGTCATAGTGGAAAAGGCCACATCAAAGCTGAAGGAGTTGTTGGAATAGCTCGAGCCTTCTTAGGATCTGGCGCTCGCTCAGTGTTGGCATCTCTCTGTGCTGTGAACGACGAAGCAACAATGGAGTTCATGAAGCAATTCTACGAGCACTTGGTGGATGGGAAAAGTGCCAGTGAATGTCTTCATGAAACCATGAAATGGATGAGGGAGAACCCTAAGTACTCGGAAGTGAGAAAGTGGGCACCATTCGTGCTGATTGGAGATGATGTGTCATTCAAATTCGCCAAGTAAATGTAAGTCCCAGGATGTTGGTACGATGCAGTGATACAAAATTGAGGGAATAAATAGTGAACTTTAGAAGTATGCCTGGCAAATAGCAACGTGTGTCGAAGCAAGCTTTTTTTTTAGTGACGGAAACTTACATTTCCTTTTTTTTGTTTTAACAGTGAAAGAAACTCTTTCCTCGCTGAAAGATCGAGAAAGTGTCATGTGTCTCAACACGATAAACTGTGACCGATGTTGCTGTTATGAAGGAACTCGGAGAGGAAATACAAGTTCAGCTGACCGATACCTTTGTTTCAGTAGACTTTTAATTTTGTAGTTTTTAATCATAAGTTTTATTAGAAGTGATCTTCCGTTGACAACGTCTCTGTAGTATGCTCAGTAGAGACCTTAAGGAGGCTCGAAAGGGTTTTCCACAATTAACAGCAAGTGCCAATCAGTAATAGATATCAGAACTGTCAAACTTATCATCGGGATAATGACTTGACATATGCTTAACACTATGTTAGGACAATCTTTTAAGGGGGCTCCTCAGGCATCATCTGTTGCCATGGCGACAATACAGTAATGCTAAAAGACCTTCTAAAACTCAGTTTTTGAAAGATATCTCAAATACCAAGTCGGTGACCTAGTTTTTTTTTCCAAATTTATTTAACATCATCACATTCTCTATCTGCATACGTGATATAAAAAGAACTAACAAGTAGAACTTGAATCATTTAGGAAAATGCTGTTTTAAAATGTAAAAAAAATTCCACTAGATAAAGTTTTTTAAAATTTTCTTCAGAAATGCGTATTGATAAAAATAATTTGTACACAAAAAATCGGGGTAGGTCACCGAACTAATTTTCGAGATATTAGTTCATCAACTTAGCAAGCTTTATTTCCGGTTTTTACAATTTCAGCTTACACTTTTATATCCGGTCACGCGCTTTAAAAGATACCGCTGACTCCAGAGCTCATTTTCGCGAGGATGAGTCCGTGTTTGCGCGATTAATCGACGGATGCCCTCGGCGCGGAAAAAATCGTACTTCCTGAAGATGGATTCACATTATTTCGTGATTTTACACATTCCTGAAAAATAAGTCATCATTTGAGACTCAGACTGATTACCGTTACGACATTTGAAAATGTAAGAACATTCCGGAGAGAATTCTCTTGCGGAATTCGATATATGACAAGTTGATTTTGCAGATGGCGCCAATGCCAGTACAACATTGAGGCCGTTAATGTTGAGTTTCTCGTACAATGATTCTAGTGTAAAATGAGGCAAACCAGCCTCTGCCAGCTTCTGGACCATGTTTATCGAAAGATGAAGTTTTCCATCGAACGTCTGGATGGTATCTTGTCGTTGTTCCGAGAAGATGGCTTGATCGAAGGACTCATTCGGCGATGCGCATTTACCATGATTGACCGTATAATTGTTTGTGTGCAATTTGAAGTGAAGGAGTGAAAAAAATTTGGAGTGAAAAGAATTTGCTTTGATGTCTTCCATATTGTCATGAGCGTCAAACTCAGCGGAAATCAGGGTTTCATATACAACAGTAATTTGTTGGTCGTCACAGATTTCGCGAATTTCTATATTTTTCAAGGTACTAGAGGAATGAACAAGCCTTGGCTTCATATTCTTTTTTTTCTCTTTGCCACTGTCATGACCGTGAACTTTCATTGTTCCGTTTTAAATGGAAAACAAAAATTTTGCAATGCTTTCTTAACATTTGCGAGTTTGCATTTTCGTAGTTGTAATTTACAGTTTATCGAGTGAAATATCAACAATCTTTCTCACAAGTTTAAGATGGATATTTTATTTTAATTTTACCGTTTGTGGTTGAATTACGATCTCTTGTTTTACTGAAATTTCTTTTTTTTTTATGGCAACATTTACACTTTTCCATTTCCGTTCATAAAACATACTGTCAATGTTTACCATCTTGGATCCAACAATGATTTCATTTTCCTTTTCATCTTTCGGTGAGTTGTTTAGGAAAGTTCTCCGTCATTTCATTTTATTAGGATTCAAATTCAATGCGAAGCAAATCGTAGCATTCAGAAGTATCCACTTAAATTTTTCACGGAACAAAGTAAGACGTACCGAACACACTCGTCGCGACTTTATTGATGGAGTGTTGACTTCACCATCCTCCTTTAGCTAGTTAAATAAACTTTTTTTGACCACTTTCGGCAAAAGTCCTGCCATCCAAACATTTTCCTACCTACTTTCAAGAAGTAAACTTTCGATTTTTATTTCTCAAACAACCACTTCCGCTGGAAACAATAGAGGTACCCGGCAACTTTGAAACGCTCATGGCGGCCATGTTTGTTTACAACTCGGCCGCGGATCTGATCGCGCGCGCCATCGCTTATTTCTCTCCAGGTAATTTGCCTGCGTGTATCTTGGAATTCATTCTCCGCGCGGTCAAAAAAACCCTTTCGAGCCTCCTTAAAGCTTATAAGATAGAACTAAGATTTGGCAGTGGCATGTGCACAGCCTGGGTTAAAAATGATTGTTGTGTAGTTTTTAATTTTGACAACTAAATAAAATGAAGTGTAGTTAAGGAGAGCGAGTTACTACTAAAGCGATCAAAATATCTGCAACATGTGTCGAACAGTTTGTTTTTAAAGGCCCATTTTCATCCGAGATCCTTTGCAGTCGTTTGTTTTTGTTTTGGAATCGCGCTATTGTTAAATGGCGAACTCTGATAGTCATTCACAAACACTATTAAAAAGAAAAACAAAGATTCGGTGAAGAACACAGTAAATAAATTTGCAGCTAAATATTTGAGACTGAAAAATCATAAATCGAGTCTGTGTATAAAACTTGTACAAAGCTTACTTGATGTTGAAGGAAATTGTTCGGCTTCAACACTAAATAAAATATAAACAAATAACCAATATTGGCCAAAACTGATTTACTTTACGCATTTCAATTATAGAATAATGACTTGTACAAATGAGATCGCTTACATACATATCTCAGGATCTCAAGTAAAAATCAGTCAAATAATTATTCTCACCTCGAAAAAATCTCCCCGGAGTCTCTAGTTCCATCGTAGGAACAATGCAATAACATTTCTGCAAAAGCACTGTCTGTAGTGTTACCGAAACCCATNAAGATATCAAAGCGATTCCGCAACTACGAGGAAAATTTCGTATTTTCCATCTATTAAAAATGATCCGGGCGCGCAAGGCATCTCGGTTAAAAATGGGCCTTTAAAAGCAATGTCAAATATGAATATAAACCATTTAAATGCTAAAGCAAGTATTCACAACAAAATCAAAGATGTTATGAACAGTGCCATGCAAATCTAGCCAAGTTAATTTTTTCTTTCCAGAAGCTTCATAATTATTTGAGACTGCCGCTGCTGCATTGATGTAAACATCCGCTGAATCTGCTGAAAGCTTTGCATCTGCTCTTGCTGCTGCTTAGTTTGTTCTATTAAGATTTTCATCATATTCTGATGTTGTTTTCTCGACTGATCTTCTCGTTTACTCTCAACTTCAATTCGCTGCTTTTGCAGCTGCAGTTCTTCCTCTGTCCACCTCTGAACGAGATAATTTTTTGCGCTCAAATATGCAACTGTGTCACCTCCACCTCTACAACTTTTTTGCTTTGGTTTCACATTCTCCTCCTCTTTGTTCCGCTGCCTTTTCTTCCCAAGCTCTCTAGAGCTCTGTTTCTCATTTCCATTGCTTTTGCGTTGTCAACTTTCTTCTTGTCGTTTTCCACAGTGTCTTCACCTGCTGCTTCTTTTTCGGCTATCTCTTCCAGAGCCTTTTCCATCTCACTCAAATCACATTCGATTCCACTTGCCTTCTCTTCGTCTCTCATCTTTGCTTTAATTTTCTCGCTCAGCAGCGTGTATCTCTCCCCAACAGCATGCTTACTGACTTTGAATCGGAGAAGCTTAAGGCCGTTTTTTAGATTGTTTGCAATTTCTTCCCAGATCTGGCCTCTAGAAATGCTTCCTTTCTTGTACTTAAAGGATTCAAGTACTAAAATTTCTTGACACATGCAGTTGTCATGTTCCTCCGTCCACTCCATGTTCGATCAGAAAAATCATAATTACATCTAGCCTCAACAAACTCTTGCTCAAATAGACTTGGGTAAATTATTTACATTTTATGGTTTAGCTTTCATTAATAAGGAAAAAATCAATTGAGAACAACTTACTGGACTGTTTTCTTTGAACTCGTTTCCATTGAAGCTTATTGGCAGACATTAACTGTCGAAGCTGTTTAGTAGGAGAAAGAAACTTGGTCAATTTTCACCTTTAAATGGGTTCTACAATCAATTTACAACTGTCACATGCTAGGACAAATATTGTCACTTCATTACATATTGAGAATGTTCGATAAATTCCTTTCAAATGGCCTTAAAATAAGAGAAAGTTACTCACGTTTTAGAAAAAATGGGAAACACTTCGTTTTCACTTCGCAGACAACACAGCTACGGCGGGAAACTTCGCGCGACGGCTACCGGAAATGTGCAAGCAAATATTTTCAACTTCCGCTCGCCGTCGTAGACATCTGCCGTCGTCGGATCTTAGGGTGCCTAGTAGTGCTAGAACGGAGGCAGCTAAAGATGTTATACACTTTGAGTCAAAAAAGCGCACTCGGCAATGGCATTTCTCGCGGCTGAGAACGAAAATCGAAAAGTAGAAGTTTTGCCACAGGCCGATTTTGTCGGTAAGGAAAAAGTCAAAATTGAAAATTTTGTAAATTGAAAGTTACGTCAATTGTTTGTTTTTGTAATGACTCAGCGCATTTTTTCGCCTTGAGCCCTACCGCCAACGCACATTACACTGTACCACTTTTTTGAGGGGGACTATGGATCCAATTTTTTTCCTGTAATGATAAAATCAAACTTCTTGTCAATAGGGGACAATTGTATTTTTGTGAGTTTATCATCCTATTCCTTAACCATCTTCGCTCCAAAGCTGTTCTTTGCTTTTATCCCATGATGCAGAACTCTTTTAATCTTCCACACGGACACAAACAAACAAGCTTACTCTCAGGTTATTCTTCCACAACTTCGGGGTTAAAGCATTCATTGTAATACTGTACTAATCTGGAATATCCCAATCGAGCGGGAGAAATGATCTTTAAGAGGTAATTAGCATATTTCCCCGGAATGTTACTTCCAGGTCAGCTCAAGATTTTATTCGTATCATTTGATCTCGATTGCGATGGCTTCAGTTGCTCTGCTCTCCAAATCAGGCTTAACTCTTCAACTCCTATGAGGGACCAACATTCTAATTCTTCTTACATTAGTACTACTGAATCAAACCCCAAGGTCAAGAAATTAAAAGAAATGATCACCAAGCTAAGAAGTTCTTGAAGGTCAGAAAAATTCTCCTTAATTGTCAACAATTTAGGAAATGTGAAGATAACAGTATGGAGAAAATTCACACTGATGGTAGGGTGTAAAGCAATGGGTTAAGACTTTACTCATTTCATCGTTGGTCCTTTTTTTATAAAAAATATTAGTAAAACGAACCGAAACTTTAAGAGAACACTACAGTTGATAAAGACGGTTTGAAAAAGAAAAAAGGAAAATAATTCCATCTCTGCCGAAGATATTCATTGGAAGACGACACAAAACAACCCACCCCATTTCTGATTTCCCCTCGATCGTGATATATGATGGTGGAAAACTCGAGAAATTTTCTAAAATTCAGTCGAAAAAATATAGAATGGATACAACGGTGAAAGTTCTAAGCTGCCTTCGATTATGAAATATTGTTGTTTTCAACAACTTGATTTCCTTGAAAAAACCCTTGGTATCTCTATGTTTTGAACTCGATGGTCGCCATAAAGCAAGCAGATTAAGGGAGAGAGGTAGTAAGTCCACTCCACCCTAATTATTTGTGTCGCCTTTTGTCTAATTTTTCACATAATAGCTCTTTTTTCTGTCATTTCCTAGCGGGTCGTCGATATTCTACTTCAACAGATTTGATTCTAGTTTTCCCTGACAGTTAATGGAGGGAGGCCTGAGTCCATAGCCCCTTAAATTGCTATCGTAACTTTACATATCAAACAGTTAATCACGAATTGTTAAGAAATAATTTGGAATTTTTAAGAAATTACTTTTACTGGAACACACGAAAAAGTGTGGAGGTTAAGATCCAGGAAAGGGTTTTAGTTAAAAAAAAATCAAATAATTAAATACATTTTGAGCTACCTTAAGAACAGCTTAATTTTTGCTTTATGTACATCTAACTAAAACTCGAGTTCCATTTTATAAATGCGTTCACTATATCAAAATTCATCAGTTTATAACTTTTACACGATTCAGGGCCTCCCCAAAAAGACTGCTCTGAACTGGTGTTAGAGACATCATACGGGGTATTTCGCCTTGGCGACGTGCGTGTCACTCAAATAGATAAACCGTGAAGGCCTGGGAGGAATCCGAACGTGTCCTCACGTTTAGTCTAGACCAGCAGAGCTCTTTCGTTATCGAGTGGTCATCAAGTTTTGTTTAAGAAAAGGTAGAGTACGTTTCAGTAGAGTTTGACAGAAAATAATTGTTTCGCTAAAGATACCGCCTCGGGTTTTCGTCCCTAAGAAGTACAACTTGTGCTTCTTCTTGTCTCTAGTTCTATTTATAATTACGTAATGCGCGTAAGTTTTTTGCTGATTATGTTAGATATTGCTAGAAAGTTCATGGATAGGAAGATCTGGATACGAAAACACAATTTCTGATTTGGCTGAAGAAATTCGAATGACAACACTCTGTTAAAAGGATACAGTAATTTTGTGCGCTTTTCTGCGTTTTGAGGTCGCTTTCAATTGCTGGTGACTAACTGGTGCGCTAATACAAACTTCAAGACAATTTATAGCATGTGCGAAGTGAATCGACGCAATTAAAATGCTTGTCAAAAAGGCGCTCAAAGGTGTTGGGAATCTAGGAAGTACGCGTGAAAAAAACCACGCCATCATGACATTGAGTAACAGATAAATTTGTTTCTTAGCCCAGCGGTTAAAACGTAGGCCGCTTTGGTCGACAAAGAAGCGACTGATTTATCTAAACAAATGACCATACCTGTTGAACAGCCAACCTTAAAATGTGCGCTACTGTCTGAATTTATCTCATATCTTTACATGAATTGGGATAATTAACAGTTTCTTAAATATTTGAAATTAAGCACGGTACATAAAGAGACCAGAAATTGACGCTCATTTCTCTCTAAGAATGGAGAAGCTATTTTATTCAAACTGCTACACAATTTGCAATATGCAAATTACTTTGTCTCCATGCATGATTTATGATCGGGAAGTCTTACCACGGAGATGTCAATGTTTAGATAAAACGTACTCTGTAGGCAAGTCTTGTGTAATTTTTGCTACGTCTTACTCGATAAATTAAATCGAGGAAAGCGGATAAACAAGAGCTGACAATAAATAAATAGAAAAAAAACTCACACATTCTACAAAATTCACCGAACCTGGGTAAAAATAGAAACACTGGTAAAAGTTTCTCAAGTGAAATGGGGAGCAATTTCATTTTTCTCCATTTAAAGTACGTCAGAATGTTATTCCAAGATGTTTGTGAAGCACACTTTTCCTTTACGAAAAAGGCTTTTTTTAAAGGTTTTATTCTTTTTTTTTTCTTTATTTCTGTTCAACTTAGTCACCTGGTCCTTGGTTAAAAAGAAAGTGGACTGCGAAGATGTTCTTCGAGTTCTCTTCATTGGTTTAGCAGTGGTGTCAGTTTTGTTCCAGACATATCGACATGTAAAGGCTATTGAAATATTGAATGAATGCCTAAATGTTCTGAAAATATACGCTTCAAATTTTGAAATAAAAGGGGCAAACGCTCTTTTTGGGCTGATCTACCACAAGTTGTTTTACCTTTACAAGTTCGTTGGCGATTGCAAGAATGCGATTCAAATTGGGGGGGAGGCAATCCAAGCATATCTTCTAATGGGTGATGTTCGACATGCAGCTGAATTACTCGGAATAGTTGGCAATGAGTATCAGATAGCTGGGGAACAAGTGAAAGCCAAAGAAAGATATGACACAGCTTTCAGAATATTTTACCTGAGGGAAGTCAACCAACTCGAGCAATTTGATATGTCAGATATCGAGAGAAGGGAACATTTAAATAGAATGCTATTAATGGAAACAAAAGCTGACAACAAGACAGGGCAAGGAATCATTCTTTCCCAGCTTGGAGAAACGGCGAGGTCTATTTTCGATCACCCTGGCGCCATGGACTTCTTTAAAAGGGAACTTGAAATCTGGAAAGAAATTGGTAATAAAAAGAAACATGGAGATACTCTTCGGCGCATCGGTGAATTGCTGTAGGATAATGAAGAATACGAACAAGCCAAACGTTATTACAGCAAGGCAGTGGAAAAACTAAAGGAGGCTGATGCGAATAAAGAGCTGGGAATGGCCTTGACTGATCTTGGGAGAATATGTGACATGCTTGGCGAATTTCAAGATGCAATAAGTTCCCTACAGAAATCCCTCGAAATCAGCTTGGAGAATGGAGACAAACATGAAGAAGTCTTGAATCGTCGATTTCTTGGCGATGCCCACACCTCCGTTGGAGAATATGACAAAGGGAAGAAATGTTACGACGAGACTTTGGCACTCAGTAGGATCGCAGGGGACAAAAAAGGTGTGGCACTTGCATATAGCGGTTTAAGGAGTTTTTATCGCCGAAAAAACAAAATTGCAAAGGCAGCAGATTATGGCGAAAAGGCAATCGAAATCTACTCTGACATTGGTGACTTACGTCTGGAAGGAATCGAAAATTGCGAACTTGGAGATATTTGCTCGTTTACTAGTAGATTTGAGGAAGCAGTAAAGTATCACACTCGATCTCTTGAGATTAAAAGGAAAACTGGCGATAGAAAAGGAGAAGCACAACAATACGGTAACCTTGGTGTTGTTTACCAGAATTTGGGTGATCACTGTAAAGGAAAGCATTACCATGAAAGAGCACTGGCTATCAACAAAGAAACCAATCACCTGGTAGGTCAAGGAGTAGACTACAGCAATCTCGGCAGTGTTTACCAACATCGTGGTGAATCTTCCAGGGCATACCATTACTACAGGAAGGCATTAGAGATCAATTTTCGAACTCGAAACCAAGAAGCAATAGCTGCTGGTTACTGTCAATTGGGAATTTGCTCTCAGAATGAAGGAAAGTATGAGGAGGCTAAGAAACTTCGTTGGACTGGTCTTAAAATTGCAAGCAGGCTTGGTTATAGAAATATGGAGGCAACTATATTATGCGACTTGGCAAAAATTTACTCTGTTATTGGCGGGTCCGAAAAAGCAATGGACTCTTACAAAAGGGCAGAGGTAATCTTCAAAGAAGTTGGAAATAGCGCGAAACACGCAGAAGTACTCGCCAACATCGGGTCTGTTTATCAGTCGGACGGCGATAAACTAACAGCTATAAAATATCTGAGAGGATCGTTAGACATTATCAAAGGAATTGAAAGCCAGGATGTGGAGGCTTCTACTTCGGCCATACTTGCAGGTCTGCATGTTTCTTTAGGCGAATATGCTGAAGCAATACCTTTATACAAGTGCGCTCTCAGAATAGCGAAAGAAACTGAAAATAAACGACTGGAAATGCAGATGAACATGCATGTACAGATCAGTTGGAAAATGCCCTTCCATGTTTCAAAGAGGCACTGTCGCTTTGCGAAATGATGGAAGACATACGAGGTATAAGTACTTGCTGTTGTAATATAGCAACCGTATATGCTGTGACCCAAGATCTTCCAAATATCAGGTTGTATCTTAAGAAAAGCATTAAGGTTTTTGAGAAGATTCGGGAAGTTCTTGGAGAAAGTGAAGATTTCAAAATAGGCTTTGCCGACAAACATGATGCTCCTTACCAATTAATGATTGCCATTTTGATCAAATTAGGAAACACTGACCTTGCCTTGTCAGTTGTGGAGCTTGTACGTGCTAGATCACTGGCAGAGTTGATGGTTGAAAGATATTCCGCACCGCCTTTGCCTGACTTGGATTCCAGTCAATTAATTGATTTCCATCATGTTGTCAAAGATAAGAATACGCCCTGCATATCATTCTGTTTTGTACAAGGACATCTTTCTTGTTGGACCTTGAAGGCTAACCCAGAAATCACGCTAAGAGAGGTCAAAACAGATGGTTTGCCTTTAAACATCCGACCTAAAGGTATTTCGACAGTAGACTGGGTAGAGAATCTTTTGAATCAGTTTTACAGACAGTTTTCACCTTTTCCAGAAGAGCAGTGTGAAAATCGTTTGCTGTTACTTCGAGATAGAGACTCTGAGGGACGATCCCCCGCCAAGCCGCAAGAAAGCCCAAAAGTTGAACAAAGCCAAAACGCCTGCCACGTCAAGAAGAAGTATGAAGGAGGTTCAAATGAAGAACCACTCATCAGTGTTGTATAAGGACATTATAGCTCCTGTGGTTGATCTTCTGGAAGGATCTGAGATAGTTGTCGTCCTTGATCGTTCGCCATACAGAGTTTCATTTTCTGCGTTGATGAACGAGAAAGACGAATTTCTAGGAAAAAAGTTTAGGATTCGATATACTCCATCTTTGACGACTCTTAAGCTGATCCAAGACAGTCCTGAAGATGATCACAGTGAGACAGGAGTTCTCCTTGTTGGCGATCCTGATGTTGGTACACCTGATCGATTACCATGTGCTAAAGAAGAAGTTGAGATGATTGGATATATTCTTAATGTTCAACCCTTAACTGGTAAAGAAGCTACCAAGGAAGCGGTACTACAGAAGATACACTCTGTAAGTCTCATTCACATTGCTGCACATGGTGAAGAAGAGAAAGGTAATATCGCATTAGCTCCATCCAACCGTGAGAAGGACGACTTTCTGTTGACAATGGTCGATATCTCAGCAGTCAGATTGCGAGCCAAGCTGGTGGTGCTCAGTTGCTGTCACAGTGGAAAAGGCCACATCAAAGGTGAAGGAGTTGTTGGAATAGCTCGAGCCTTCTTAGGATCTGGCGCTCGCTCAGTGTTGGCGTCTCTATGGGCTATGGACGACGAAGAAACCATGGAGTTCATGAAGCAATTCTGCGAACACTTGGTAGATGGAAAAAGTGCCAGTGAATGTCTTCATGAAACCATGAAATGGATGAGGAAGAAACCTAAATACTCGGAAGTGAAAGATTGGGCACCATTCGTGCTGATTGGAGATGACCTGTCATTCAAATTCGTGTATTGAATGTAAGTCCCAGGATGTAAATAGCATGAAGTGATACAAAATCAATTAAAAAAATAATGCAATTTAGAAGCTTGCCTAGTACACTGGAACGTGTGTCGAAGGAATCGGAAGCTTACATTTTCATTTTTTGTTTTAACAGTGAAAGAAAGAACTTTCTCGATGAAGGTGAAAGCAACAGGTTTCTCAACGCGATAAAGCCTTGAACGATCGATTCCGTTATAGAGGAACTTTGAGAGTAAATTTAAGTGTAGCATTTAATCCTAGAACTTTATCGGACTTGTCTGTCATTTGAGAACAGCACAATAGTATCTTCAGAAGTGCGAAGACGAAGACAGACAAAAAAAAGCAACTCGTGTCGCCGAAAAAGAAGAAGAAAAAGAGATGAATATTTTATTTTAATTATGTTAATGTGAATTACAATACTTATTTGAAAAGCTGGATCTGTACACAGGTTTTTAAAATGTAACTGTCATGATCAACTGACCTCGTGTGTCCAACTGAAAAAATAATTCTTTGATGGTTCAACTTGAAAAAATGATAATTGGAAAAGTTCTGATAAAAGAAAAGAAATAGATCCTGAATCATCCAAGTTCGTTCTTTGTAATCCTTAATTCTTAAACATAGTAGCTTCGTGCTTAATCTATTCTTAGCTTTAAAACCATTGGGAAGCTCCTTCAATCATTAAGAGGTACAACAAAAACAATTTCCCTCTCTGAATATATTTCCGTAACTTTGGGGATGAAGCATGTTTTTACATGCTATTCGGAAGCACCCCGGTCGAAGAGCAAAGGAACTTAAAAAGATAATCAGTGACTTTCCATCGAAATTTTTATTGGTCAGCTCATGATCAAAAGTTTACGTATTTCCATTGATCTGAGTGGCGATGGCTTCAGTTCCTCTGCTCCAAGAGTGACTAGCATCCTATTTCTCTTTGCATTATTACCGCTCAACCAATCAAAAAAGAAAATGATCACTAGGTAGAGGAAATGACTGTTAAACGAATTCCCTATGTCAACAACGTACGAAATGTAAAGAGAAAAGTATGGATAATGTATGTACTGATGTTAGGGTGGAAGGGGTTAAAATACTCATTCGAGCAGGAAACCAAGAAGGTGGTGTCGAGGAAAGTTACGTTCAGATCTGCGGGTTTTCGCCACCTGAATTATAGCATGAGGTTTGAGTATTGTTGGATAAAAGGAAATTGACTAACAGTAATAAAAAGCGTCATCCACGGGTACTTCAAGACGTCGTCCTGGATACTTCCGAGCAAGTGAGATGCGAGTGGACCAGACATCACCACTTTAGACTCATTGAAGATTATGGTACCCAAGCCGAAGGAGGGCTACGTAGTATCTGTTGAAGGTAAATAGTGCGGGTAGTTTGCTGGCTACCAAAACGGAAACACGATCGTAAATTCACGATCGTAAAATTTACTCGTCAATGAAGTGGAAGTTTAACATTCCTGAGTCTAACATTAACTAACCTCTAATTTTCTAATCACAAAACTTATGTGAAATATTTTACATCAGATTTGCAGGGGCTTTATCGTTCTATCAAGACATTTCAAAATTGATACACTTAACAATTGCTTCATGCGTCAGCGTGCGTTCATCGAGACTTGAAGCACGCGGAAAGTTTGGAGAGAACGAAAGATGCGTAAGAGTTGCTCGAGGCGCAGCCGAAAGATGCGTGAGAGTTGCTCGAGGCGCAGCCGAAAGCATTTCTAGCTGCTTGAGTGGTCAAGGAATGTTGTGAATAGGCGTTTGCTATGAGCAGCGAGTCAAAGCACCTGAGAAGGTAAGCACTTAATATTAGCAATCTAGGCACTGTCTATCAGCATCATGGTGACTACAAAACGGCGTACAAACTCCACCAAAAAGCACTGAATATTAAAATTCAAACTAATTACAAAGAAGAAATGCCTACCTTTGTCGTTGTTACGTATGATGCACGATCCTCGCAGTAGAGAGCGCTATTTATGCAATAGCGAAAATCAGACCTGAAAAAAAATTTTTTTCAGGTCTGATTTTCGCTATTGCATAAATAGCGCTCTCTACTGCGAGGATCGTGCATCATACGTATCTAGAGCCGCAGTTAAAAATATATGAGCTTCATATATTGATCGTATTTGTTGTTGTTGTTTTGAACATCTTGGCGAGTATGCGAGGGCAACGAATTTTTGGCATTTAGGACTGGACATAGCTAGACGTATTGGCGATAGTAATAGTGAGTCAAATATCCTGGCCAGTTTAGAATCTATAGAGGGAATCATTGGCGAGAATTTAAATGCAAAAGCTTAGTAGTGAGAGGCTCTTCAACAACTATAACAACAATAACAACAACAACAACATTTATTTAAACACGATGAAAATTACAGCGGAGCTGATGTGGTCGTGTATTTAATAATCAACCTAATTATCCTAATTAACCTAATATGGTCGTGTATATAAAAATTAACCTCATTAATTAACCTTGATTTAAAATCAACCTAATTGACCTAATTAACCTAATACGGTGGAATATTTAAAAATTAACCCGATTAATTAAAAATTAATTAAAATATTATTCATCTATAAATTTAAGTAAGTGTATGCATGAGGTTTTGTGTTTTCGAATATTTCTAAGTAAGCTTTTGCTTGAGATTGCACGCGTATGATTGTCAAGAGAATTCCATAGAGATGCCGCCTTGTAACAGGTGGACTTACGAAGAACTTCAGTGTTTGGTTTTGGTAATAAAAAGGTAAATTTCCTACGCAAGTTATAGTTGCACTCATATTTCATAAACAGCTTCGTAATGGGAGCGGGTAAAAAGTTATAGAAACAGTCATGTGCCAAGATAAGTAATCTATGTTCGTATAAATGCAAGTGTGCCACTTGCATTGAGCTAAGACCAAATCACTGGGTGTGTACTAATCGAGGCCATAGATGATCTTTGCGGCACTACATGTATAGCTCATCAAAGAGCGATTTGCCACAGGAACCCCATACAATAAACCCATAGGTAACAGATGGTAGAATTACTTTGAAATAAAAATCAGCTCTCGCTGTACAAGGTAAGAAATAAAAGGCACTACATGTATAGCTCATCAAAGAGCGATTTGACACAGGAACCTCATACAATAAACCCATAGGTAACAGATGGTAGAATTACTTTGAAATAAAAATCAGCTCTCGCTGTAAAAGGTAAGAAATAAAAGGCACTACATGTATAGCTCATCAAAGAGCGATTTGACACAGGAACCTCATACAATAAACCCATAGGTAACAGATGGTAGAATTACTTTGAAATAAAAATCAGCTCTCGCTGTAGTGGGTAAGAAATAAAAGGACTTAAGAAGGTTCAACTTTTGTGAGAAGGACTTAATCAACTCTTTTGCGTGAGCGTTCCAATTAAGGTCACTATCAACTTCTACTCCTCTACTCCTAAATACCTAGATGATTTAACTTGAGTGACCACACTGTTCCCCAATAACACTGGTTGCAGCGGCCCAATAAACCAGCGACGCATTAAAATCATATACTCGGTTTTACCAGGGTGGGGCATGAGGCGGTTAAGGCAGCACCAGTCATACAACTTCTGAAGGATAACGTTCAAGACAACAGCGACCATATCAGGAGAAGACGCAGCCGCGTAAATTGTAGTGTCATCAGCATACATGTGAATATCACCATCCCAACCAGGAAATACCAGTTCAGCTGTTACGTACATCTCATTAGACTTTTAATATTTGTAGCATTTAATCACTGTGAGTTTTGTCAGGGAGACGTGTCCGTCATTTGAAACCAGCTCCGTAGCATGTTCAGAAGTGCGAAGTCGAAGACAGCCGAAAAAATTACTTCGTGACGCCGAAAAAGAAGCAGAAAAAGAAGTGAATACTACATTTTAATTATGTGAATGTGAATGTTAATTCTGATTTGAAAAGCTGTATTTCTTTAAAGATCTTTAAAATGCGACGGTCATGATTAATTAATCTCGTTCGTCCAATTGAAAAAGTGACTAGAGTTCTTTGATTGTCCATATTGAAGAAATGTTTTTACTGGAAAAAGATCGGAAAAAATAAGAACTAATCCCTGAATCATTCAAGTTCGTTATTTGTAATCCCCAATCCTTAACCATCCTTGCTCCTTTTTTCACCTCTTCCTTAACTTTTATACCATAAGGAAGCCCCTTCAATCATTACTAATAGCAATAAAAAATCAATTTTATTCTCGGGATATATTTTCATAACTTTGAGGTTGAAGCATTTTTTGATGTTCTGATCGGGAACACCTCAGTCGAGGAGCAAATGAACCTTTTAAGGTAATCGGTAACTTACATCGAAATTTCATCGCTCAGCTCAAAATTTTACTCATATCCTTTGATCTCAGTTGCGATGGCTTCAGTTCCTCTGCTCTAAGAGTGACTAGCATCTTATTTCTCCTTAAAGTATTACTGCTCAACCAAACATTACAAGGTCATAAGAATAAAGGAAATGATCATTAAGGAGATCCCGGAGATGTTTGGGATTGTTAAACAAATTCACCTTGTCAGCAACGTAAGAACTGTATAGAGAACGGTATTGGGAATACAGATATACCTGCTGATGTCAGGGCGTAAAAGGTTTAACCACTAAATCAAGCAACAAACTGAAGAGGTCGTGTCGAGCTAAGTCACGTTCAGATTCACCCCTGGTTGCCACCGGAGTTATAATATTAGGTTTGTGTGTCGTTGAATTAAAAATAGTGATATTAATAATGGAAAGCATTATTCAAACTCAATTGGATACAGTAGTGAATGGATGACTGCGTTTAGGGATATAGTTAAGAGGAAGAAAGCAAAGTTCTAACGGTATTTACCAATAATGCACTTATCGTGTAAGCTTTCAGCTTTACATTCATTTATTTGCCCCAAGATGCCAGACGTTTGATCATTAATTGTTGTATAAACGCAAAATTCGGAGTGATTTTCATTTTAAGCTTGGTTTAGTTTCAAACGTCGAACGTGATTGTAGAAGTAGGATGGCCCAGAAGGCTCAACGCAAACAAAAAATATACTGCAGCAAATAAAAAATATACTGCAGCAAATAAAAAAATCAGAACGCAAAGAAAAAAAGTACCGCAGCAAATAAAAAAAAGCAACGCAAACAAAAATACTGCAGCAAATAAAATATGCAACGCAAACAAAAAAAAAAGAAAACGCAAACAAAAAAAATTGGAACGCAACGCCAAGGAAGACTGGGTAATAGTTCTTAGTTTCCCGCCAAAACAGCATGAACTGGAACTCGCTTTTGGCTATGGACGAAAGCGATCTGCGTAGGATTATAGAAGATTACTTTCATCAAGGGTATGAAAATAGAGTTATTATCGATTTTTTAAAGGAGCAGCATGGTACTGTCATAAGTTCGCTGCAAAACATGGTTTCGGAAAGGTGAACAAGCAAAGGATGGAACGAGTGTTGGCGGGAAACTAAGAACTATTACCCAGTCTTCCTTGGCGTTGCGTTCCAATTTTTTTTGTTTGCGTTTTCCTTTTTTTTTGTTTGCGTTGCATATTTTATTTGCTGCAGTATTTTTTGTTTGCGTTGCATTTTTTATTTGCTGCGGTACTTTTTTTCTTTGCGTTTTGATTTTTTTATTTGCTGCAGTATATTTTTTAGTTGCTGCANAAAAAAAAAAGAAAACGCAAACAAAAAAAATTGGAACGCAACGCCAAGGAAGACTGGGTAATAGTTCTTAGTTTCCCGCCAACACTCGTTCCATCCTTTGCTTGTTCACCTTTCCGAAACCATGTTTTGCAGCGAACTTATGACAGTACCATGCTGCTCCTTTAAAAAATCGATAATAACTCTATTTTCATACCCTTGATGAAAGTAATCTTCTATAATCCTACGCAGATCGCTTTCGTCCATAGCCAAAAGCGAGTTCCAGTTCATGCTGTTTTGGCGGGAAACTAAGAACTATTACCCAGTCTTCCTTGGCGTTGCGTTCCAATTTTTTTTGTTTGCGTTTTCTTTTTTTTTTGTTTGCGTTGCATATTTTATTTGCTGCAGTATTTTTTGTTTGCGTTGCATTTTTTATTTGCTGCGGTACTTTTTTTCTTTGCGTTTTGATTTTTTTATTTGCTGCAGTATATTTTTTAGTTGCTGCAGTATATTTTTTATTTGCTGCAGTATATTTTTTGTTTACGTTGAGCCTTCTGGGCCACCGTATAGTAGCGATTCAGTTCGTAATGATTTTAATTCTGTCGATCGCATTATTTTGATAGTGCGATCGACCAAAAAAAAGAAAAAATTTGAAATTATTACTTCTCAGTTCATGTATATGAGATGTTCTAAATGAGTATGGCTTGGAAAGGAAAAAAATCATTTGTACGCAAATGATATTCAAGCGAAAAAAATAGGGAAATTCCAGCGTTATAATACACGCTATGCAAAACGAGCATTCTTCTGTAGGGATTGGTAACGATTTTGCAAAAAAACGAGGTCGGTCAGCCTTGCAGAAGTGTGGCTATACAGAAGTTTTAGAGAGATGTGAGTTATTGGTAACTGTTTTAGACCGAAATATGAGCAATTCTACGCTTACAGAAGCGGATATTGAGGGTTCTTCACTTGCTGGAAGAGACCCAAGTAATTTAAAAGTAGATGAGTTAAAATTCTGGCTCAAATGCAGAGGAGATCCGGCAAAGGGCTTGAAGACGAAGGCGCAACTTGTTAAGCGGTAGGTTCACGATTCTTTCATTCTTAGCGACAGCCAAATTACGTCTTTTAATGCTAAAAACAATTAAGTACGGCTTGAAATTTCTTGGTCAATCAAAAAAATCATAAAACTTTTTTTGAAGTCGCCATTAAATGCTTGATAAGTATTGAGTTGTCGCCATCTTCGGAGCTTCGCCGTCATGTGGATTGCTCACTAAAATCTCTATATAGAGAATCGATTATTTATATAATGGTGAAATGTTGACTTTTTAAGAGGTAAAAATGGTATATTGATGATTTATTGGGAAACTTTATTCGATATTACAACGTAATTCAAAGTTTTATTTGGGAGTAACAAGGACTGGTAACCATGGCAACCCTCTTATTTGCTTTTGTTCGCGATCTTATCAGAATGTTTCTTCTTTCTTTCTATAGGGTAGAAGAGTATGTAAAAACTGGAAAATATCAAAACTTTATCGAACAAAGTCTGAAGTGATTCTTGTCATTCTGAGTCGAGCTCAGTCATTAGTAACTTGTTTGCTTTGGCTAATCGTTCTGACTTCAGTCGAAGATCCTGAAGTTGAGAATCAAGTGCATTTATTTTCATTTTTTCTTTAGGTTTAGCATTCTCTGCTTGTGCTTCTATAAGTTTTTCTTCTATTGTGGGCTCGCGTACAATCTCTACAGGTTCAGCGATTGAATCGGCGGTTGTAGGCTCATCTTGGACAGGTGTTGTAACTGTTTGGCGTTTCGTAGGCGATTTTCTTTTCTTTGGCGATGCCATATGCCCCGAGAATTTCGATGGGACGCCGTGACCAGGCTTCAGTGTTATAATACCATTCAATGATTTTTACATGTCACTTTTCTTGAAATGACGGGAGCACACGTTAGTCCGACGAGTTAGTTCAAAATCTTTTCCGGGATCTCTTCGAATCGCATGGATCCATTTCTTTCGCAAAACTGCATTCTTCGGGAAGTTAAAGAATGAAACTTTCT